AGAAATATGAAACATTTAGTTAAAAATTGATTAATAATCTTGTAAAGAACATTGCTGCTGGTGTACCCCAAGGCTGTTTAATAAGACCTAAGTTTTCATAAATTTGTTGTTTTCTAACACCAATTATATTTCAATAATAGTGCCATCTATTCATAATTTTATAGACTTAATTATTAAAGGTAGGTTTTTAGTTCTCAAGTTTGAAAATCCTAAATAAGTCTGCGTAAGTACATGATATTGCATGGAACATAACAGTTGGTGTACCCCAAGGCTGTATAATAAGACCACAATGGTACATTTCAAAAACTGTTTGTTTTCTAACATCATTAGGGGATCATGGAGCCTATCAGTACATTTTCTAATTGCCATACAACCCAACAAAATTGATGCAAAGAAATTAAAAGAGTAGAAGACTAAATTTTTAAACTATTAACGTTTTGAATCAAAATTTTTCAACAACATCCTATAGAAAAATCTTGTCAATAATTTTTTATCGACTTTTTTACACTTTGTGGTCAAACTGATGGTTTACAAGATTTTTACAAAAAACCGAGGCGGAAATACGATTTTTTTCCTAGTGAGAAAACATAAACTTTTGTTACGTCGTTGTAACTTTCAACGCGAACATTGTTAAATTCTTCTCGAGAGTATTGTTTCGAATAAAATTACATGGGAATATCGTGTACTTATTTACATATTATTATTACTGTATCCGAACACAAGTACATACACACATGTATGGAAAAATACATAGCTGAATTAGCAAATTGGATTTTTTTTGTCGAAAACATACACGAGATAATGGTATATCATGAAATCTATTAGATTAATATGGTTAATAGTATTTATTTGTATACTCATGCACATTCCTATTTATTTATTTACAAAATATTTTTTTTATTTTTCAAATATGATCAATTTGGATAAAAGTCCCACATGTGCATGTAGCTTCAATTCATACAAATCCTTTGGCTAATGATAAAGGTAGGTCACGTTTTTGATATATGTCCATGTTACAAAATTTTGTGTTTAGAGGTTCAACAGTTTTGAAAAATTTTGATTTAGTGATACACGAAGTGTATTACATATTCGTTATCCAAGAAAATACCTGCGTTTTATTTTCTATTTTTTCGTAAGAAAATCGAAAATAAAAATGCCTTCGCAAAAATTCAAACGGTACTTAATTTTGCACTTTTCGCCCCGTGTCTTCAGAGCAGCACGTCTCCCCCGTCAATAGGAATCGAATATTTTTTTGAATCATTCAAATCGGTTGATCCGTGCTCTCGAAAACGTCGACGAAAACTTGTATCGACACATAAACACATACATAAATTGGCCATGGAAATATATATATATATATATATATATATATATATATATACCGATATAAACAATAAGGAAGTACATAAATCGATATAAAAACCTTGAATAATCGATTCGATACTTTTTTCACCTCAATGAGAAATTTTATGGAATTTATTTATAAGTAAAAGTATAAAACGTCTGCAAAAAATAAGTACTATAATAAACAACATATATATATATATATAAATAAATATTTTAAAATTTATAAAATTGTATTTAGTTACAAAAACTAGTTCTTTAGTTATAAAACATTCATCTATTTGTACCTAAAACGTGGGTACATTTTTTCAAATTTTGAATCATAACTCAAAAATTTAAAATTGTATCTGGATACTTTGTTCAGATAACTTATAGATAATAAAATTATCTATAAATCTATATATAACAAATATTGATGTTTAGAATAAAGTTATTTATTAAAACCTTGCCAAACTTTAAAATTTATATCAACCTTCTTTTTGTCAAACCAAGGCGTTAGGACATTTTTTCAAATTTGGAAATATAACTCAAAAATTTAAAATTGTATCTAGATACTATGTTCAGATAAATTATAGCTTATAAAATTATCTATAAATCTGTATATAAGAATTATTAATGTTTAGAATAAAGTTATTTAATAAAAATTCCCCAAACTTTAAAATTTCAAGGACCTATATATGACTTTTTTTGTAGCACATTTTTTCAGATTTTAATTTATAACTCAAAAACTTCAAATTTTATGTAGATACTTTGTTCAAATAAATTATAGCTAATAAAATTATCTATCTATATATACATACATACATATTTATAATTAATAATATATAATCAATAATCAATAATTAACTTACATATATAAATGTTGTTCGCTCCATATCCAAAACTATTTCTTTTGTACTTGATAACAATAATTGTTTCATTTAAATTGTTTTTATTTTAGATATTTTTTATATTGTTTATAAACTCGAATTATACACTGGAATTTGCACACACAGATTAAATAAAATAAATATAAAGTAATTATGAATATACTATGTGAAATTTAATAAAATAAAGTGCTAGAAAATTACTATCAATATTCTAAATCTACAATCTAAAATACTTGTAAAAAAGGAAATTATTTTTTAAGAACTATATTTTTTATTTATATGAAAAATATCTAATATATACATATATATATTAGTATAAATATTTAATTTTTTCCAAAAAAATACTAAAAAGTTAGCTTAAAAGTTACAAAGACGTAACAAAAGGTTACGTTTCCTCCTTTGTAAAAAATCGTGTTTTCTCTTTCTTTTTTGCAAAAATCTCAAAAACCATTAGTTCTAGCAGAAAATAATATTTTGCAAATTTGATGCTTGTTAAATTTGCAACAAATAATTATTAATAACATTATTTGCTAGAATTTGTCGTTGCTGAGATAATTTGATTGAAAAGTTGTCAATATTATTTTTCAATGTTGTGGTTATAAATTTTGTCTGTCATAAAATTTGTGTTCAGGAATTTTTAATACAAAAAATTTTAAGCCGGGATTTTAAATAAATAAATGTATATACTTATATATAAATATATATCAGTTTAATATTACATGCAACTTATAATTTAATATTTACAAATTCAAAACAAAACCTACACCAACTTCATTTTAACGAATCAATTAATCACTTTACATCGTTGCACAATTTCGCACAAACTGTCCGCAAAACTTATTTTAAACAAATCAAAACACTACATTTATAAAATATATATATTTACATTTATTTTTATATATTTATCTATAAAAAACGTGGTTTTACTATTTATTTCTCGTAACCGAAAATACGCGTCCTTCTCGTCCGGCATCAAAACACAAACTGTTGCAACTGACAGGAAAACAAGATGGACGACGATTATGGTTGTTGTATTGGCTAAAGTTTGATCTGAAGTTGCGGAAGATGACAGCAGGGTTGATTTATGGCGGGGAATTTGAAATATAATTGATATTATATTTTTTATAAGCTTTCAAATATAGATTAATATAAATAAATACCTTCTTATATAACAAAATATAAAAAACAAAAAATTCCCAATGATCTCATAAATAGCCATTTGTAAACCCCAACATTATTATTATTATTATTATTATCTTATTATTTCTATTATTGTTTTTTTTTATTATTCAGAAATTTTATTTATATTATTTATTAATTTTATTTTCATTATTATTTGCTTTTATTTTATTTTAAATCATCATACTACGGATATTATTTTCATGTAAATTATATCCTTTGCTCTCTTATTTATTTAAATTTATTATTATTAAATGTTATTATTTATCAATATTACTAGATGTTAACTATTTAACAGTTGTAATAAACATTGTAATATATATATATATATATATATATATATATATATATATGCATATATAACAAAATATACTATTTTTAATACTGAATTACAATTTTTATTCAATAAATCTAGCAGGTTTGATTTACTTAAGGTGGGAAATTTGAAATATAATTGATATTAAATTCTTTATAAGCCTTCAAATGTAGATTAATATAAATGAGCACTTTCTTGTATAACAAAATATACTATTTTAAATTTTAACTTATATTCAATAAATCATATACATATAAAAATAAACATTTAACAAACTAATGAATAAGTTTAAAAAATAAATGAATAAGTTGAAGAAATGAATGAAGTTAGTAATTATTAACTAACCGACTGTATTAATTGTATTAGGTTTTTATATTTCTCTTGATTCAATGATGAAATCATAATAAAATTTGTGTGCATCATACTCAAATTGTGGTTTATATACCATGGGTACAAATATCCTTCAAAACTAACTTATTTTTGTACTTCTGTGAAATGTATCTTCAGAACATTTTATTATATTGCTCTGATTAAAACAAATTGTGTGTAATATCTTCATACAGACCTAAATAAACTTAATTTTATAATAAGTTATTAAATGAATTAAGTTATTATTAACATACCCATTGCATTAGGTTTTCATATTTCATATTATTTTTGGCAACGATCATATCATTGGATGTTTGCTGTTCTCAATAAAAATAATATCTGAACAATAATTAATTATGACTATTTTGAATAGTAATTTCATTAATTAATTGAAGATTCTTTTAATTACGGATATAGACCACCATCATCAGGTACAATGACATCAAAATAAATCTTCTGGGACATCGAAGGACCTCGATTAGAATCATCATCTGTGATGGACATTATGAGGTACAAATATATTACACAATATTATTAATTGGACATTTGCTGCTTTTATTATTTTTAGCAACGATATTATAAATTGGACGTTTGCTGCATTTATTTAAACAGAAGTATTTTAAAAAAATTATATATACAAGTACTTTTTTCAGTTTTAGTATTTGTATTTGAAATAGACATATTAACAAATAAAGTACAATTTTTATGTTTGTATAAAAAACAGCACGTCCTAAAGAGTTCATTGAAAACACACACAATTTAATGGTACTATTATGGTACTTTTATTTACTGTTCTATTCATTTATATTTTTAAACAAATTAACATTAAAACTCTTACAGAATAAATAACAATAATCTTATAATAATAATAATACTAATAATAATATACATATGGACATAATTAATTATTAAATAATTATTTATTAATGTTTTGCTTCGCGCTTTTTCTTCATACTTTCCTCCTCATCTTCGATTTCTTGTTCAGGGTAATCTTCGAATTCTGGATTTTGCCTAAAAACAATTAAATAAATTTTAGTAAAATAAAATAAAATTAAATTAAATTAATTAGTTACAAAATACATTTTTGTATAGCAATAAATAATATATGATATTTCAGTAAGTTACTTCCTGAAGGAGAAGATATCTTTTCATCAGAAAATTTGATACTAGTTTTATGTTTCAAGTCTGCATCGTTTGTCATGAAAATAGGAAAAGAATGCGTTTACCTGGAATCTTCTAAAAATCTCCTGCGCCCTTCTTCCATCCTAAAGCTCTTCTGATGTCCTCTCATACCATGATGATAACCTTCAGAAAAAAGTTTAGTTTTTACTCTGTTAATATAATAATAATACACAGCAACTTGTCATCAGGCAAATATATAATTTTACTTTTTACTCGACATGTTTTATTTTTTACCCGGCAGCCTTGGTTCAGTCTTGTATCCCTGATGATGATGCATCATTCCCCTGTTGTGCTTCATGGGCGTTTCGTTGTGATGATGATGATGATGAATGTGTTCTTCTCTTTCATCACCGCCTTCTCCAGATGGTGCCATCTCGCCTTCTTCCTCTTCCTGATTCTCGTATTGGCTGCCGCCATCATCAGCATCGTTCTATAAATAATAATAAGAATAATAATAATAATAATATTATATAAAAGTGTGTTTTAGTGTTCATAAGCGGATGTAGGTGTTCGTAAACGGATGTAAGTGTTCATGAACGGATGTAAGTGCTCATAAACGGATGTAAGTGTTCATAAACGGATGTAGGTGTTCATGAGCGGATGTAAGTGTTCATAAACAGATGTAGTGTTTATAAGCGGATGTAAGTGTTCATGACCGGATGTAAGTGTTCTGCTAATTTTGAGTGTAAGTGTACAAATGAGGGTGTAATGTGTAGGTCTATAAGCGTAAGTGAGTATAATTATTTATAAACAAATGTGTATGTATTTATGTGTGTACAATTGTGCTGGTTATTTTCATCTCACATTTTGAGTGGATTTTTTTTGTTTGTAATAATTTTTACCTTTTCGTGTTTTCCTCCATGGATTGTATGATAGTGATGTATCGTCTTGTAAATTGTATGTGTATGTTTCAATTTTTTTATTTTCAATGGCACGTGGATAACCACTTTTTTGTGGCTGGAAAATAATAAAAAATATTAGTAAAACTTTATCTATTTTGAGTAAAGTTTAGTGGGCAATTCTGCGTATAATAGACCGTAACAAACACATAGCATTTTGATAGTATTTAGTACCAATTTATATGAAAAAATGGCAACGGTCTATTCTATCGGAGAATTGCTCTCTGACAAATGGATTTTTAGAAGATATTTCAGTTTTTACTGCCCTCCAAAATATATAATTTAAGGTAAAAGGTTTATAATGCAATTTTGTATAAAATTTTATAAGCTTCAACTCTCCCTTATAAATCTTTTCAATAAAATAGATAGTTTTTAAGATTATTTCTAAAAACTAAAAAAAAATACGCTGAAAAATAAGAAAAGAAATTTTCAAGATGCTATTGTTTTGTAAGAGTCTTCAATAAATAAATTAATTAATTAATTAATTTATTAATCACTAAATAAAAAAGTAAAGTAAATAAATAAATAAATTCTTACCCAGCTTCACAGTATGACACATATAGACATATTGTTAAAACCATTGTCAGAAACTGAAATGAAAAAAATAAAAACATTAATATAAATAAATATATATACATATTTATAATAATAATAAATATTTGCCACTACTGCCCCAGGGCAGGTCCGTGAGTTGAGTTAAACTCCAACTCGATTCGAGAGAATTCTCATTGCCACTTCACACCGCAGTGCCCAAAATGGGCAATTGTTAATTAGAAACAGATTTTTATATTCAAGTGAAAATGGACATCAGTACTGCATGATATCAGGTTATGCTGGCATCAAAACTAGAGGTTTTTTGTGAAGATGTATGGAAAAGTTGTAATATTTTTAATACGTTTTTACTTTAAAATCAATAATTTCTAAATTATAGCTTACTAAAATCAGACCACGTGCAAAGTAAAACGTTTTAATTTATTAAAATATTGAAGAGCAATTGAAAAAATGTTCAGTAAAATTTTGAGAATTTTGTTTCAGTTTTTACCTCTATCTTTAAAACGTATAGCTTTACAATAAAATATATATAACAAGATGTATATACAATAATTTTAACCCTTTCGGAAAAGAACAAGTAAAACTTTTCAAAATAATAATAATTTCCCACAAGTGTGTCTTTGATCTTTTTTCTTTCAAGAAAATCCATTACGAGTAAATTTATTTGCCTTGGAATCGGACACACTTTTACTCGAACGAATTCAAGTGTGAACGATTAATGGTTTTTCTTAAAAACAAGAGAAAGAGATTTTTCTTTATGGAAATTGAAAGTAAAAATTGAAATTATGAGCGAGAAATTTTCTATTTGTATGGAATAATTTAATTATTATAATTAGTAAGCAAATTATAAACTTCTAATACACTTATTTTTTTACAACGATATTTTATTACCTTCCTGAAGAAGTTTATGTTTTCATCAAAAAATCCGACTCACTATATTTATGTTTTCTCGACATTTCCAGCCATTCTGAATCAAATGAGACAAAAATTTGGAAAAAGTGTGTGTGTGTGTGTGTGTGTGAACAGATTTTTTGCCGTAAATCGACGTTTTCTCCAAAACGGATGGACCTATTTCAAAAATTTAAAAGCCGATCGATGTATCTCGATGAGGACTAGCGTTTCTTAGTTTTGTGCGACGATCGGCCGGACCGTTTCTTTGTAAATTGCAGAAAAGTGAAAAATTTTTCGTTCACGTTTTAGTCCGCAATTCTGAATAGATTTTGAAAATTCAAAAACCATTCGATAGATATTGGTTGGGAATCGTGCTGATTAGTTTTTGGTAAATATCGGCCGGGCCGTTTTCTTGTAATAAAGTTTGAAAAAAAATCGATTTTTATGATTTTTTTTTGACGGTAGATACCATAGTCTTCTAGATCATACTAAAATATTACGGCCCTGCGACAAGCCATTTAATTCTGAAAATTCTCCGAAGTTTGCAAAAATTACTATCGTTTTTTTGGCATTTGTTAAAATTAGACCTTTGATCGACGTTTTCTCAAAAACGCTTGAACCGATTTCAGAAATTTAAAAGCCATTTGATGTATCTCAATGAGGACTATCGTTTGTCAGTTTTGTGAGACGATCTGCCGAGCCGTTTCTTTGTAATTTGAAAAAAGTGTTAAACTTTTCGTCCACATTTAAAATCATTCTACGGAATCGATTAAAAAAAAACAAAAACTGTTCAAAAGATATTAGTTGGGAATGATGCTGATTAGTTTTAGGTGAAAATCTACCGAGTCGTTTTCTTGTATTTAACTGTTGAAAAAAAATTGAAGCCGATTTTCATGAAACCTTTTTTTTGTGATATATATCATGGTCTTATAGAACTTACTGAAATATTACGGCCTTACGACAAGTAGTTTAATTTTAAAAATTCATCAAAGTTTGAGAAAATGAGTAGTTTTTTTGACGTTTGTTAATTAGACGATTTACTTGATATAGCGATAGAGTACCTGGTCTTAATGAACATACTAAACCATTAAAGTCCTACGTAAACTGGTTCAATTAAAAAAATTGTTGATTTTTGAAAATTTGCTCTTAAAAAATATTCCGAGTTAACGAGTTTGTTCGTTTTCAATTATGTGTTATAAATCCACTCTACTTTTAATCACTCATAAATTAATTTTTTTATTGATTAAGTCTATTATTTACACATATCGGGAAGCTCGTGTAACTTGCCTCAAGGCAAAATACCAATACCAACTAGTTTTTATTCAGAGTTCGTGCACAATATTAAATATTAACAAATAAATATTTACAATAATTAATTTTATATGTGTGTAATATTTTTTAGTTTAAAATCTATTTTAATTATAATTTTATAAAAATAATTATAATTATTAAAAATCACTAGAAATTGATAAATATCAAAAATAATCTGCTTAAAATTTTGTAAATTTAAATAAAATTTTCTATTTATAAAAATGCAAAATAAACTTTATAAATATAAATATTTTTTTTATCAATATCTTACCACTAATTTAAGATCCATTATTAAGTTGTTTAAATAATTAAAATAAAAAAATTGCAAATATTTATAAACAAATAGTAAAGGACGTTCACTGAACCACTATTCAACTTGAACTGTACTGAATTGTTGCAAATTTATTGTTTATATACATGTAGGGGGATATAAATAAATAAATATATAAACAATATATATACACTATATATATATATATATATATATATATATATATATATATATAGCATTGAAGCACAACCATGCGCCAAAACTTTTTGTCTATAATGAAGCATTTATTATAATTTGTCAAGTACTTTGTTCAGATAATTGTTAATATCTTGAGTTGTAGATAAAATTTCAACAATTTTAGTATTTGTTGTTTTATTATATATATTTAAGAATTTTGTATTCAAATTTCATATGCGTACTACAAACAGTGGGTCCTGAAGAGCTCGTCAAACATGAATATAGAATATATTGGTACATTGTTTAAATAAGTGTAAATATCTCTTGTTACACGAAGAGCAAGTAAAAATGGTATTATTCTGCTAAACTAGAAAAATAAGATTGCATTATATCCAAAATACAGCCCTGGGTTTAAAAAATTGTGTTTTCTAGAATTTTTCAAAAACAAACAATGATGCTAATATATCATATAGATAAAATTATTATCAATGTCGTGTGCACTTTGCTAAGATATTTTTTGGAATTTTTTTTAAAGTAAAACTTCTTTAGGTGCGACTAGGGTGTGAATCCGTACAAATGCAACGGAAATAGCGTTACGTAGAAATAGCAACTGAAATCATTTCTATACGGGTCGATTGTGATTAGTCGTCGTGTATGTGAATAGAGATCTGTCGTTGTACGCGCACCGGCATCAACGTTGTATGCGTACCGATATCAACAAAGAAAATAAACATTTTAAAGTTACATCGTAGTACAAATCTTGATTTAATGAAAAATGCCCGAATCAGAAAAATATTTTACCCTGTTCCTTGAAAATAATAAAACAAATTAAACATTTGTGCTGTGTACTAAACGTAAGTTTATTATTAGAAAGTATTTCTATATTATTCGTAGTTTCTATAAATCTTTTAAGTTATTAAAATGGAAAATATTTTTAGGCAAGACAGATATTACAAGCTGTTCTAAGAATGAGATTATATCGCCAGCGAAAAAGTAAAAAAAATACAAGCAGTCAATGAATGTATGTTGATTTTAATTAATGAAGTTCTTCAAACACAATTATTACATGATGAGTGAAGTTTCGAGAACAATATTTGTTTAGGCGTTGTTTAACATAATCCACTGTGTGAACGAATATTATAGAATTTATTAATCAGCAATTACTTAATTTCTCTAATGAAGGTTCATTTCTAAATGCTAATTACAATGACAAACCGATCATGTCATATTTGAAGTATGACTTTAATTACATTATTGTTTTTAGCTATTATACATATTTTTAATGTTATTATAAATATATGATTTATAATTTATCATTGTATAAATGTGTATAATGGTTGACACTAATAAATGTGTGCATCACGAGTGTTACCATATTACTAATAAACATTATTCATTTTACTTTTATTTATTTTTGTTACTTTGTACAGTAGCAAATAAGTTTTACTTCAATCGAGTGTGAACCTTACTTAATATGATATTTTGCTTTCTATTACGTCTAGTTTAGTAGAAAAAAATTATTTACACGCTCTCCTTACAAAACAAAAGATACATCATTATCTGAACAAAGTACCAAGTTGAACCGTACAATCCTACTAAATTGTTTTAAGACCTTCGGTTGAGCATCTCTGATCTGGTAAAAGCGTTCGACCGCAACATATAAACATATATATATATACTAGCTGACCCGACAGACGTTGTTCTGTACCTACGTCTACAATTTTTCAATATTTTATACTAATATTTACTGCTTAGTTAAAAATAATAATTACTGTTTTTTGAATTACTATTTACACCAATATATAAGTGATGTTGAATGTAGAACTGTTTCAAATAAAATTATTGTTCTCAATTCCCACAGTTAACACTTTAATTATTTATTTAACAAATATTAAAAAATGTTCAATAAAATTGTATATTAAAAATTATACACTGCGATTTATAGAACAAATTTATTTCCAATAGCTCAATTTATTTTATTGCATTTAAGGGTTATATAGTATTTTTAGCCATACCTGTAGATGTGGATGTATAAATGAATGATTTTTTGTTTATTCACGACTAAAACATTGATTTTCCAAATTTATCACACTAAAAATGATCGTCTGCCTTTTTGATTTATGGTCATAGCATAAGATACTCATGTTGAAAATTGAAATCTTTTAAAAAGTACAAAAAATTCAGAAAGAATTAATATATAGCATTCGCGGCAAAGGTGCAATATCACCTTTTATTTTTCTCACCCAAAATAATTGCTTCAATAATGTTGCCTATAATTTTTATAATTTTGTACCATATTTTAACTGGCTTTAAGTAATTTTAATATCTAAATTGCATTTTTTTCTCTAATAAATCAATATACATTATTGCTTAAGTTTA